GCACAGAGTCATGAATAATCTGGATGAGACAGACTTCCACAGGTAGTTTACCCTTTAATACCTGAACTGAAGTATTCAGAATCATCACATGTATGACCATCTTGTATGAGAACATGTCATTACACGTGGCATTACACAATTGTATAGTTAAACTAAAAATAACCACTGTATTTTCTTTACAGGGAGCAGACCCAAAGTAGCCATTACTACAGCGAAGGGCCTGGACCGGGTTCTGGCCACGGACACTATGACAGAATTCGAGGTCGTCCTCCACACCTCTCCATTGACCAGTACTCAGACTCAAGCTATCGCTCAGATCAGGATCTTCCTGCTGGAAACTATGGCCGAGAGTACTTGTCATCTGAGGACTTGAGACCACCTGAGGGACACCAGGGACCTCCATTAGCTGGGAGGTATGGAGGAAGTTCCTCCAATAAGAGGCCAAGCATAGGTCAGGCATATGCCTGTCAAAGCTCACCCACTCAGCCTCACCCACCAGAGAAGAGACACCTTCCCAAACAATCTGATCAAGAACATGATCAAGATGCAGATGCTAGGCAAGGCATGCGTAGTTGGAGAATCCACTCCTATCTGAGTACTTACGAGGACAGTGGGGAAGAAGGTCTGCCCCAACCTATGGGACCTGATGCATTTGAAGATCCTCCACCATCTCAGCAGCCAACTGCCCCTGAAAGTTCAGCTCCCCGCTTAGGAATAAAGGAGCCTCCGAATGTTCCCCCTAAACCCAGACCAGATATCCTGAGACCACGCTTTGGAAAGCCCCTCATACCTGAGAGCAACAATCGAGACTCTGCCCCAACAAAAAACAAGGACCAGCTTCCGTCAGCTAGTGACTTCAAGCCATTTGCATGGGAGAAAACAGAGAGAGAGACAGCGAAGGAAAGGGAGAGAGAGACAGACAGGGGTGCTGCAAGGGAGGTGGGTGTGGATGTGGAGGTGAAAGAGGCTCCAGATCTTTTCCTGTCCAAACACGAATCATTCCGCACACGCATTAACCCACTCCTTCAACGTAGCTCTCGACTGCGTTCCTCGCTTATTTTCTCATCATCCAAGGCAGAGGTGCACAGTAGCGGCCTGGGCCTAAAACCAGCCACAGAGGAAGATGAGCAGTTAGACTCAGTACGCACTTCCTCCATTGTGGCCCAGATCCTGGAGAAGAGGAGGTCATTGTCTCGTGAGCCTTTTGAGTGGAGAAGGAAGACTGAGGAAAAAGATAAGGAGAAACAAATGGAGAAAGAGAGAGAAGAAAAAGAGGAGAAAGAGCGACAGCAAGAGGAGAAGGAGATTCGATTGAAAGATGAGATTAAAGCAACAGAGGAGCCTCAGAAAACTTTCGAAGAGGTAAAGACAAAATCAAGTGTTGAGAAGTCTGAAGACACAACATCATCATCTCTGAACATGAATGACCCTGCCAGTCGATTGCAGTATTTCAAGGATCTGGCTGCCAAGAGAAAATCCTCAAGAATGGCGACAGAGTCATCACTAAAAGCCCCAGAGCCTGCTGAAAAAAAGCCAGACCTTTCTGATAAACCTCCCCTTGACCCTGTGACGACTCCAAACATCCCAACTGTCTCTGTTACTCCAGCAGAAAGTGAACCAAAGAAGCCAGACATCTCTGCAAAACTGGCAGAGCTCGCTCGCAGACCTTCAGTTAGTTCCTCAAAACCACCTATAAGTGCCACCAAGCCTTCTGCGAGCTACCTGAAGCCTTCAGAGACATCGCAACCTCATAAAGAGGAGAACACGTCAGAGGGTCAAAAGAAGGATATATTTAAGTCTCTAAAGCCCCTTCCTTCGCCTAAGATCTTTAGAAGGGAGCCGTTGAAGCTCAAAGGCTTGAATCCTCGCCGCATCTCCTGCGGTGAGGACATTCTGACCACCGACGCTACAGACGCAGAGAAGAGTGAAATGAAAAAGAGCCGTTCACATAGTACTTCAACTATGCCACGTGATGACTTTAAAGAAGGACTGCAAAAGGTTATGGGCTCTAATACGTCGATCAACACGCTTGGTGAGGGAAAGAGTGAGGGTAAGACTCTCGACTTCTTAAAGAAGCAGACTCAGAGGCTAAAGGGATTCCTCGGGCCCAAAGACAAAGAGAAGAAATCTTCAGGAGACGATAAGGGCATGAGCACAGTTATAGAGGTCCCTGGAGATTCAAGCAAAAAGCAAAGTTCATCAGCTAAAGATACAGGATCTACCACTACTGATCAAACTACAGCCAATCACAAGACATCAACCAGCACATCCGGCCCATCTCGATACCAGGCCCAAGGCAGCTCTGTCCTGTTCAGTAGCAACCTACGAGATGACACCAAAGTCATTCTGGAGCAGATCTCGGCTAACAGCCAGAAGAACCGGCAGGAACGAGAAGAAACGGGAGGGGACAGAGATAGTGCCGCCGAGGAGAAGGGGCTGGAGAGGCAGAACTCCATAAAAATAAATCGATTTCTGCGACCGCAGGGCAACGTCCAGGAGCGGGAGGGATTGCTGAAGAGGATAGAGAGTATGAGGAAGGAGAAGAAGGTCTACAGCCGCTTTGAGGTAGTCTATCACTGCAAGGATGATGTTTGCAGCATGGATGGGAAAGAGATATGAACGATAGAAAAAGTAGTGTTGTAAGGTGAAAACAACAAGTAGTAAAGATGTATTAAGGGACTTGTATTAAGGGAATTAGGGGTTTAGCTTAAATCGCACTACAAAAAGCCAGCTGTTTAAAATATAAACACTAAATCCTACATTGTTTGAGTTGATTAGATGGAGCAGTATAGACAGTGAGAGTGGTATACAGTACATTTAAGAGTAATGTAAAACTTTCTGAGCCATAGAAATGTTCAGATATTTTTAATTTGTGTTAAGGTCTAATGTAAAATTTGATTTTCAAAGATCCTGTTAAGTCAGTTTGAAAATGAAAATAAGTATTATACATGAAATGTACATAAACAATTGTGTTTAGGCAAGTTTTTAATTACCGTATATATTTTTATACATGGTCTCTATAGTTACAGAAATAATGATGCCGTTTGTATAATTGAAAGTCATTTCTATGGCCAAACAATGATTTAATGTTTGACAGAGTCTGCTGCTTTTAAGCTGTGAAAATAAATTTTAGTGGACAAGCTAATGTTTATTGCTTTATATACAAGTTATTTTAAATACAACTGAATTTGGATTTACCTTTGCTGGTCTACTGGTTAAATTAAAGTGTATTAACTGTCCCCCGAACCTTCAAAATATTGATAGTAGTAAGGAGGGAAAGGTCAGATGAAACTGAGTTCATACTTTGTTCATTCATCGTTATCCCTGTTGTTCTGTTAACAGATGGGGAACAACCTGGGATAACGGAAAATCGAGGAGCGACTTTTTATATGGAAACTCTTTATGCAAGATGATCAAAAAGACCCATTGCCCGTATGTGCCAACGACACTATCAAAGTACCTCTGCTGCTCCACATGGCAGCCTTTCCAGGATTTTCACACAAAGTAGTAAAACTTAAAAAGACAATATAAAAAGTGCTGAAAACAAACTAAAGTCATTGGGTGTGGAATGTGCCTGTTTGCCAAGGATTGGTACTACTTTTACCTTATATGGTGACTGAGAGAAAGAAGAGCGACTCTGCTTGCGTACTGGTTTCAGGGACTAATGTTTCACCAAACAGAAAAAGGCAGGGCAACTTACCTATAAATGAGCTTGTATGAACGTGACTGAGGGAGATCGAGAGGATAAGAGAAAGACAGTACATTTAGTACCTGAGGGAGATGGATGCATACCAGTTATAAAACATGGCAGTTTACAAGTGTAAAGCACCAGTGTCTGCGTAGCTGGGATTAGATTGAAACTGAATGAGAGGAAGTGTCCGAGTGGATTCTTGTGTGCCAATGGCCCACCAAGGGCATTACCAAACACTAGGACTATTATTAACCCACATCCAAACAAATGAGAACATGAGGATGAGAAATAGAATAAGATGAAGAACTGATGAAGGGTGAAATTTGGGGGATTACAGGAAGAGTGAGACAAAATCTGAATAAAGAAAGTGAGAAAATGTGTTTTTCTAATGTTGAGGAAGCAGCAGTAGAGTTGTGATAGAAAGTAGAGCCTGTAGTGAACTTTAGCCTCTCAAGAGAGCGTTGTGTACCTTTCTATTAAGGTGTGGACCCACTTCACTGCTGGAGTTTTTAAAAGAAATGTGTACTAGTCTTTCTTATGTAATGTAAATAAAAATGTACAGTATTTGCAGTTGCCCTGAATCTGTAAAATAATAATTAAATTAGTCATCAGCTGTAAGGGAAAGAAAGAGATAATGGATGGCTATATTGTTGCAGTATTGGAGCAGGGCCATGCCTGCTTTCATAAGTCACTGAACTTCTGAGACCTACGCCCTACGTAGAACTCTTTTGTTGGTCTGTTAGCACTATTAAACCAAAGATGTGGGTGTATGGTACAGTTCACAGGCTACTTGACAGCTCGGCAGGGCATCAAACCGTTTAGTGTGTTTTTTGTGCGGCACATCAAGAGATTGATCAAAAGAGGATATATTACTATATTGACACTTCAGGGGTTACACTGTTTTCTTTATGGGATATTTTGTACATATTTATATAAAAAGTCCTGGGTGATGTTTTAAGTAACAAATTAGATTGTGATCACCCTCACTGTACTATCAAAGTGCCTTGTGGTTTTTTTTAATTAATATGTAAGTATGTGGTCTTGGCTGTAAAAACTAATTGGCATTAATTAGGGGGAATCAGTTGCACAGGGTCAGTGTGTTTAAAAAAAAAACTGAGAAAGTATTACATTGTATTTGAAATACTGCAAAAGTCTTTTATTAAATCTCTTTGAAGCTGAAGTTGAATGTGGCTGTGTGGACCTATATACAGGTATACACTTGTAAAGGGCAGTAAATGTTGTACTGTTTTCATTCATAGTCTCATAAAATAAAACCCATTTGACAACAATGTCACGACACTTAAATAAGGAACATGTATATTATATTAATACACTATATTAAATAACATACAGGATGCTGTTACTGTCATCTACTTAACTGAAAAACACATTTCACCAGTCACAGAATGTAATAATGCAGATTTCAGTACAGTTCAGTACATTTGGCTTAAATTCCAGCAACAAACTGGATTATAGAACAAGTAATATAAAAACATCAAGTACATTCAGAAAAAATAGACTTTAACAGAGAGAGTAAAGCTGACATTTGGGAGATTGAAGGTTTTCACCTGACAAGACAAATTACCTGTGAGTTTTTAAAACTACCTACAAAAATGTCTCCTCCTGAGTGTCTGCGGCTGTCGCTGGCTGCTTCTGTTTCCTCACCTCCTCGAGCTCCTCACTGAGGCGGTGCAGCTGAGCCAACTTCATTTGTTCTACAACAATCAGAGAACAAGACCAGGGTCGGAAGTAAAAAATAAACAAGCACTACATTCATGCACAAACAAAAAAATAAATGTTTTACTGCACGCATGCTTGTGAAAGAATGTACATAACTTATGAGAGGGTGTTTACCGGCTGATAAGAGCTGAGTTTTTATATTCTCAGCAGCCTCTATTTCATCTGGGAGTCTTTCTGGAGTCTAAGTAATAATAAGAAGGATAATACACTAATGAAAACATACATATATACATATTATATTACAACACTGGACCTTCAGATTCTTTTATATTGAACAGACAAACTTACAAAGACAGAGTGCAGATTCTTATGTTGATCTATCAGTTGGTTAAGTTGGTTTTCAAACTTCATCCTGCAGAAACACGACTGACTTTTAGTAAATTTACATCATTTACAAGGTGGTTCAGTAAGTTTATTTAAACATTTTTAGTTGCACATTTAATAGGTACCGTTGCTTCCGGTGTTTAAGCTTGAACTCTTGGATTTCACATTTGTGCTGTTCCAGCAGTTCGTCACTTTTCTTGTTCTGCTTTAACTGCCTGCAACTCACATGTAGTTCATCAGTGCAGGATATAATCTAACACTTCCTGTGGTACTATTAACTTACAGTGTGCATTCTGTGCAAGGTAGACTTGGCACAAGCTCATCAAATTGTTCATTTATAATCTATGATCTTTACTTGACACATTTAATGCCTTGTTGAGTGATTATACCACAGACAGACTTCTGTAGCATACTTTTAAAATTACAACACTTAATGCCAAATACAGTAAACAATGAGCCTTTAAGAACAAGTCTATAACAACGTAAACCTGCTGTGTGTAATATCATCATCACATAATCCTGTGACAGTACACAAACATATGTAACAGCCATATATTACTTAAGTGTGCGGTGTGTAGTATAATCAATCACACATTATTTAAATGAACTCTCGGGACACAGGCATGAAAATGTGCTTGCAAGTTAAATACCTGCATATATGGGGATTAGATTAAATAAAGTAAAGATTAAACAGTGAAAGTAAACAATACAAACATATAAAAGCATAAAACTAAAGAAGTCAAGGTATTATTTTAAAATTTCAAAGAATTATAAATATATATTTTTTAAAAGTCTTATTATACAGCACAACATTTGACACAGAAAACATCATAACAGAACAAAACAAATCCAATATGTCATAATAGATCTAAAAATACAAGTTTGATACCAGACAATTTGTAAAGAAAAAATCCAGGATTCAACAATAATAAGTTGCTGCCATCTAGTGGTACACATCACAAACACACAACTGAAGTCTCACAATATGTAATATGGATAGGTCATTTTCATTTTCATTTTCATTTTCAGACGTCTGCAAAACACTGAAACACACTCGTTATAGCTGAAAACATTCAATAATATCTGTCATCACCTGTCAGAGTCATGCTCAGACTCCTCACACTGGAACTGCAGCTTCATGCACAACTCTGGAACAAGATATTACAGTACTTACGGTAATCAGCTCATTCATAATTATTGTCTGTTTATTTAATAGATGATAATAGATGATACAATTGTTTCCAGACACAGTGAAACCAACAACAGATCTACATACTTATATAATAATAAACTGTTTGTTAGAGTAATGGGTGCGTACCTTCTTTTTCTTTATGGATTCCTTCCAGTCGGTAAGCTTCAGTTTGTACTGTAAAAACAACAACATACAATACATGTCATGATAAATAACACGTTACATAACTGGTTGCTTAATGGAAAGAAAATACATACTATATACATATAGTTCACTACGTAAAAGCAGCAGGTACACACAGGTACAATAAGCATATTGTATAAAATAAAATGATTAAAGGTGATTTCGTGTCTTACGAGTGGACAGCTCTTTCTGCAATGAATCACTGACTGATTTGATCTCCTTTATTTCTTCTTCCAGGATGCTTTTACCTTGAATTAAACAGAGCAAGAACAGAAACATGACATCTGTTGTTCATTGTGATTATTTAAAAAATCTGTATTCATGGTCATTCAAGTCTCTGGGAAACATTTTTGGACAGTAAAACACCAAACAAAGCTTCTTACTATGCTATAAATAGAGCATATTTGTTGCTTCTCAGCTTATTATTTATTTTCACATGTGTGGTCAGAATGGGTCTTGTAGGGTGTTGCTGTTCCCTACAAGATGGAGATATTAATCATATCTCATGAGTCTCCATTCATCATGTTCTGATACTCCTTGGTGGGAGTAACAGGTAAGGATGTACCTCACTGAAGATACTGACTGTGTGTTGTTGGACCTGCTATGGACGCTGCATACAGCCGTCTCACTCACGGTTTTATGTTCCCGCGGTAGTTTTCATCTTGTACTGGTCTCATGTTGTTAAGTGGATGTTTGGTTGAACTAGTACTTACGAATATGTAACGTTGTTTTTGTTCTGTAGGCTAGTTTGTCTGTTAAATCTTAAAGAAAATGCGGGTTCATTTGCATATTGTCGACACAACTCCTTCTCATTGGTGCACATTCACAGATGTTTCTGTCGACCTCAGTCCTCCGTGTTGAAGTGTTTACACACTGTACGAGCAGGTAACCTCTTTAATGGACGCTACAGGTGGTTCACATGGTAATGTTTAACTGATTTACTGAGTAATTAAAGAAAAAGGCAGCGCGACTTTCCAGCGGAAGCGGAAGTGCGGCTTTACAAAGACTAACTAAAATGTCAAGATAATACTTTACACTGGCTAAAACTAGAAGCTTAAATTCATG